CATTTATATAACGTACTATTAAGTCAAAATTGGATTTTCAGAATCTCATTTCAGACAAGCTCTAAATCAATAGTTTACTAGTTTACTTGGTAAAGTCATTTAATATAAAGCAATTAGTCTTGAATAGATTAATAACATAAAGCAAATACCTTTACTTGACTTAATTACCAACATTCTTTGAAGCTATGTTTTGTGAATCAGAATTTATAAATTGTTTGGTTAATTCTATATAAAAAAACCTGGAGTCTAGGTGCAAATCAGGCCAAATCCAAAGCAAATCTTTACTGCAAGCCCATCATCAAAATAATAATCATCAGAAGATCTTCATCTATTTGACATATTTGACATGATGGCTTCAAAACAATCGACGTAAACTTTTGATAAAACCTCAGATGCAACAAAGGCATAACTCCATAATTGTCACCTAAACGTTTTCACACCATTCTCTTTAAACAATTCTAGATCAGAGATGTAATATTGCAAGCTGTAACTTATACCTTGGTTTTGCAAATATTGTCGATGTAAAAAGTTAGCATAAATATATTTGCCCTATGAATTTCAAGTAGATCGTATAAAATTTTTAGTAGTTTTAATTTAGCCTGCTAATGAAAATGTTTTCTTAAGAACTTATATTACTGGTATACAGTCAGACCTCCCTAAATACAAAGTGACAAGACCATATATAAAAATTTAGTCATATGTGCACTTAGAGAGGTATTGCATTTAGGGAGGTAAAAATCTATAGATGTAATATTGGTTGGGCCCAATAGAAGACGTGCATTTAGGAAAGTGTTTCATAGAATATACACTTAGGGGGTAGTATTTAGTTGAGTCTGACTGTATTAAAATACAAACTGAATTGTTTGTCACTGTATTTTGAGTCGCCCAATGCTTACTGCTTCATAATTTACAATCAAGTTAGTTCAATGTTTAATAAACAGTACAATTAATAATGCCTTAACTTTTTTCAAATAATCATAAGAATTTTTCTTAGATCCAACAAACAATGACGCTAGATCGTTCACACGATCTTATATACTCAATAGTTTTGCTTAATTTTTCAATCATTTATATTTCATCAGAGCAGACTGCAAAAATTCAAACCATATTCAACAACTTTTTTTAATATTATCTAATCTCCCAAATGGAATCCATTAACTGTAAGTTTATACGAATTAGTTATAATCTAAAACTCTTATAAAATCATCAATTTTCTATTTGTCCGTTCTTGAATTGTTATATCAGAAGACATTTTTGATACTATTTTATCATATTATGTTATTACAACACGCAAATTCTTCATTATACGAATATTTTCATAATAATAGTGTTACTGTTATTTTACATTGTTCAAGAGATACCTAAGCTTCAATACGAGTAATTGTTATACTTACCAACTAATTAATGTAACAAAATCGTAGATGTTCATGAAGCTGAATAGCTTATCCTCAACTTAGTGTTTTTTATACTACTTTATAAACAAAATGATATCAAATAGTAAATATTCATGAATTTGAATATCTTAAGCTTAAATATTTAGAATAATAATATTCTCTATACTCATCCTAAATAGCACGAATAAAATAATGAGTTTAAGAATCTTTTTTGGTATAGGTGATACCTATTTTAAATCATCTATACTGAAAGAAATTCAAATTTGAATAGCTTGATTTAAATATCCAAATAATGCTACTGTTAATTCTGGGATACATCTACTTGGGTAGCCAAAAATCACATTCAGGTCTGAAGATAGGGATGAAAATTACATTTTACAACCAGCATTATGAAAAACTTAGCTAGCATTATCGAACTACAATAATGTTTCAAAATTAATGACATATGTTCCAACCAATCACATGAAATATTTTGATAGTATGATTACATTTCTTACCGAAACTGAAACGTTAATGTTATATGACTGATCCTTCACCCAGTATATAACATAAAAAAATTATTTTACAATACCAAATCATTCCGCTAGTATATGTTATAATTATAATTCAACACCATTTTTATTATTATAAAATGGATCATAACATGTACTAGCGGAATGATCTGGTATTGTAAAATAATTTTTTTATATGTTGCACACTAGGTGAAGTGTAACATCGACGTTTCCTCCTGTTGAAACTAAAGATGAAAATAGATACAAAAATGACAAAAAAAAATGTCATGATTAAGAATAACTCTATTTTAATACTATAATATATTGATTAATCTCTTACTAGTTAATTAAATGAATAAAATAAGATTGAAATGGATATGGTTAATGCTATAATCTTGAATAGCCTATCTTAAGATGCATCAATAATTATTTACCAACCAGATGTAATAGGATTGAAAGAGATAAAGTAGATAAGATACTCCTAAATGGCCTATCTTAAATATAATTCGCTAAATAATTAACGCGAATAAGATGAAATTCAAAAAAAAAAATACAGTTAATGTTATGATCTTAAATTAACACAAATAAAATAAAATTGAATAGTGATAGATCTCTTGCAGTATAGATAATCTTTAATAAAATATATTAATCAATTGATTATAAAGTAAAATCACCTATACTGCAAGAGATTCTAATAGTTCAACAAAATTAATGCAAATAAAATGAAACTGGGGAATACGATTAATTCTATGATTCTAAACAACTAAATATGTTGATTAATAACTTGCAAAACAAAATAGATGAAACTGAATATTGGTATACAGTAATACTATAAATCTGATTAACCTATCATAAAAGATCATATACAAGACCCGGGTTTGTTATCGTTAATTTTAAGACTTAAATAAACCTGTGGGTCTGCTGTAAAGAACTTGTGGGGGTCAACTGATGGTTGATATTATGTTGTATATACTTTCATATTAACTTACGTTGTATACACTTTCATCTTGGCTTATATTGCATATACTTTCATCTTAACCTATATTGCAGTATTGTATACTAGAGTTTAGTTCATGGTAAGTCTACTATTGTAGAGATCATATATATGGGTCTTTGCTTTGAAAATTACATTATGGAACATAGCAAATCATATGTCCCATAACATGATTTTCAAGGCAAAGACCTATATGACCTTTTACTGCATCTCAAATATATCAATTAATAAACATTTTTACTCACCAAGTTAACACGAATAAAACGAGTATAAAAGATTAGTAAACCTATGATCCTAAACTAATTAATGTAATTAAGGTGAAAATCGAAAGAGATATGTTAATACCTTACCAATTAGTGTATATAATACTAGGGATGTTAATAGTCCGGTCTAATCTAATTTTGTTCAGTCTTGATTTAGTTTTTAATAGTCTTCGTATTAAGAATTGACTAGTCCAGACCGGTCTGGTCTTAAGACTAAGAGCATACCAAATTTTTTCAGCTTTAAACAGGTCTTAAGACTAACTGTAGTCTATCAGTTTAGACCAGACCACATAACATTCCTACATAATATGTAATTAAAAATATTAATACTATGATTTTTATAGCCTGTTTGAATTGATGATAGCTTACTAACTAAATTAATACAAATAGATGAAGTTGAATAAGTGATATAACAAATAGTATAAAATTAAATAAAAATCTTAATATAACGATTATAAAAAGATCGTTACTTATCAACAAAATTAATATGAATAAGATGAATTAAAAAGAGATGTAGAAATGCTATAGGGTGTTCTCAAGCATTTAAATCAATAGGTCTGAGTTCAATTTTTAATTAGTGAAAAATAAATAATTCGATCAAACGAGTTCATTATCGCGATGAAAAAAAAAAAATGGTCAGAGACCATTTTTTTTTATCATAGAGTTGTGCTGATTGGCTAAAATTTAATATCCACATTTCACAATGTGAATTTTCTACAAAATTGCCGTAAGGTTTACTTCAATTAATCGTAGTACTTGTTTACGATCTCTATAAATATTGAGAAAGATGCTTGAGAGCACTCATAGTCTATCTTAATATATCAATTAAACACAATGAATATGAATAGAATAAAATTAAAGAGATATTACCAATAATATAATCTTGAATATCTTAATATATTATTAGCAATACAAAATAATAATATGACTAATATGATTGAAAAAAATATGGCTAATGCTATGATCTTTAAATATATCATTAAAGATTTTCATACCGATTATTAAATAGCCTATTGAAGATAATAATTAGTAACAAAGTAATTAACCCAAGCAATAACTAAACAGGTAATGTTCTGATTTTGAATAGCCTACCTTAATACATCGATTAATAATCTACTAATTAACACGAATAAGTTGAAATTAGAAAGAAATATAGTCAGTAGAGTGATCGTAAATCGATTATATTAAGGAAAATAAGAAATTGAAAAAGCTATAGTCAATATTATAACCTTGAATTCTACCAAAGAACTTCATATTTTCTGCTAATTTATACGAATAAAATAAAGCCAAATGAGAGATAAACTAATAATCTTAAATAAACCTATTTTTAACAAAAAATCTTCATGCTCATCAGCCAAATTAACCAGCCAAATAAGATAAAATTGAATAGTAAATTGGTTGAACTGTGGATTAGCTTACCCAAATACTCAACTACTAAATCCAATCATTAATTAAACTGATAAACTTCATATTATTACGTGAATGGACATTGGTTAAAAATAAGCTGGCATATAAAAATCTTTAGTTATCATTAATAACAAACTATCATTATAAAAATACAATTCAGAAACTTCTGTTAACAATTAAACTATAAGTAGAGATAGAAATAAATTCTTAAAGTTTTTTTAATAACTTATAGAGTGTCAATTTTGAAGGATCGACTATTTCGAAATTTTAAGAATCAATTTCCATTTCTAATTATCAATCATTCTTTTAAATAATAATACAATGTCCAAAACTCAAGCTCTTAGAGAAGATAATTACCAAATAATTAAATTTATTAAGTAATTATAAAATTATAAACACTGTCTCTAAACTATTTAATTGCTTTCTAATTCTATATTCCTCAACATACCCTCTATTTCTTGCAAGTCGGAGCATAATGCCCAACAACCCCACATTTACCACATTTGTTTTGTGTAGAATGCTTTTTGCCTTTGACTTGTTCAGTACTACTTTTGAACTGTTTAACTGAAGGTCGTCCTTTTTGTTATCTTTCAATTGGGTTTTCAACTTGGCTGAGATCAAAATTTTCTTTCTCATTAATATTTATTAATCTTTGTTCTTTAGCAAACCAATCGTTAAGGCTTCTTTTAAGGTGGCAAAGAGATTCACCACCCACTTCAACTGCAGATCGAACTGCCTTCCAAGCAAGATTAAAAGTCTCTTCATAATCACGTCGTTTTTGAATCGCATGATGAACCTTCGGACTAAAGACATCATTACCACGAATTTTTGTAATTTGGTGCATTGGAAAAAGCATAAGACAAGATAAACAACCTTCACTTGATTGTATAATACAGGTATTTGTTATATAAGGTTGTTCATCTAAATATAAATCCTGCATTTTCTCATTTTTATACCAGTGTTTAGGAATAAGTGTTATATGAAAAAATGACGCATTATCAATAGAAAATATATGCCAAAAGTGCTGGCAAACCAAACTTTGGTTAACAAGCAGCATACACGTATACAAATGTGAATAATTAGAATAAAGAATAACAAAATTAATATGAACGCAATGGCGTTGTTGAACTCTATATATTTTAATAATATCGTTCAAGAGAAGATCCTCTAAAAAAGTGTTTAGGTAAATTTGCTGCATATCATATCCTTCCTCAATAGGTTTGTCACCAGGCAATTCATTGTTTTCTATTATTGTATGATAATAAAGTGATTGTATTACTTCATGTCTTTGTCGAGAAAGTATCTCCTCAGTAAGGTATTCTTTGAAAATATGATCGATTTCAGAAAAACATTCGGCAGAAGCATCGCATAACTGAGCACTTGCATTAGCATGATACTATTCACTATAATTAACATATCGTGCTTCATCACATAATCACTGATCTAATATGACAGCTAACTCATAAAGACTAGGACAGCCTTGAAGTACATTTTTGATTACTGAGTTCTCGCTTTCAACGCGTGACATGGATGAGATGCCAGCAGTAAAAAATTTAGTAGTGTATGCCTTAGCCCACTTTTCTTTAGTAGAATAAACTCAGAATTAAGGTAATTGGCCGCATTAGGATATGCAGTAATAAGTTTATACCAGTGGCTTTCAAATCCAGTAGGAGAAAGATCATTATAGCATAAAAAAAAATCCTTTGCAAATTCATTATAATTATTACCAAGAGGAGCTTTAAAATTGCGTATAAGATTCTGTGAAATATGATAAATACAGTGAAGTGGATATGAATCACTATATATATTGTCTATAGTGGCATCCATTCCTGGATTAGCATCAGTAACAAAGACCTGCAGCACGTGATTTGTCACTTGTAAAGTAGAGGTTAAAATCCATTCATAAGTTTCTTTGGTTTCATCGTTTACCAAAGCTTGTACAACAAGCCGGGTACGAAAATGATTATCGACTACTATAAACAAGAAAAGTGGCATGTTGAATTGGTTTGTTTTATGTGTATTGTTATTCAATATAACATCATGATAGGTAATCCATAATTGGACTTGTTCCGGTGACATCTAAAATACTTTGTCTAAGCTCTTTGTTTCATGATGAAGTTTCCAGAATACCTCCCATCCAGGTTCCTCAGATTTTTTTATAAGCAACCGTCTTAAAAGCTTTGACGCATCATTTTCTTCTCTATTAGCTATTTTATATTTTTGAATCAAGTTTTGTAAATCACAGAGATATATTGTAATGTCAGAAAACTTAGCAGACAAAAGTTTGTGTTGAATTGTTGCATTTAAATTTCTTCAACAGTGTAAAAACAGATTTCCTGTAAAACAGCTTCAGGTAATATTAGATTTTTTGTAGCGCATAAATTAGTTTCAGGATTGAGTGTATGATTATGAGTAATTTTCAATGATGTTATACTAATTATTCTGGCTTTCTTTGTGAAAGTTAAATTAATGTGCCAAGAGCACCTGGATCTTTTTAACTTGCTACTTCGTTGGTTTTCCAAAATTACAGTTTTCTTCAGCACATAAGTACCTTGATGATCACATGCATAAGTACGTCGCCTGCAAGTTTGCTCTGGTGTAGAGTCCTGATCGTTTCTAATTTTAATAATCACAAAATTATTTTGCTATGCATATTCCTTGAGATATTTATCAGCATCATCCCACGTTTCGAAGATTTGACCAACAAAGGGTAATGCTATAATTTGTTGTGAAGGGGAAAAACTAAAATTTAATAGATAATTGAAGATAAGAATCAAATTTAGAAAGATTTCAGAGTAAGGTTTGTTGATAAAAAAACAATAAAATAAAGTAAATAAAGTACTTCGTAGTTGTAATAATCGAATTTTCTACAAGTATTATTTCATTATTTTGGCTTAAGCATATGTTATCGTCAGGATATATCATTTCACTATCGTTTCTATTAGGCTGTGTTTCATCACTTATACTAGCCTGAGTTTCACTATTATAACAAGGCTGATCATTACTTGGTAATATCGACTCATTATTATGATTAAGCTCTGTTATTTCATTATTGCTTGGTTGTGTCATTTTATTATAATCGCTCTTATGGGACTTACAATTCCTTTTGGTTTTAACACCTGAGCCCTTAATGAAGTAAAAAAGATATTAATTACGTGCCATTATATAAGTTATCATTGCTATAATACTAATCAATATTCGTATCTAAGAACTGTTAATACCACCAATACTGTAAAAGGTAGTGAAAGTCATATACAAGATAATTATTATCGTTATTGGATTACTGTAGTCGTTACTGTGATTGTGGCTGCTGCTGAGATTATAGTTGCCGCTGTGAAGATGGTTGTTGCTGTAATTGCAATACTGTAATCATTATTGTGATTATGGCTGCTGCTGAGATTATAGTTGTTGCTGTGAAGATGGTTGTTGCTGTAATTGCAATTGTGTCACTGTGATTATAGTAGTGGTTGTTATAAGAGTAGTCTTGGCTATGATTTTTGTATTATTTATACCGTGGTCTTTTTGCCATGATTTTTGCAATATTTTTGCTGTGGTTTTTGCCATAGTAGTTCTTGCAGATATTTCTGCTATAGTTCTTTGCCATGGTAGTCTTTGCAGAGATTTCTGCCGTGGTTTTTTGCCTGCTTCTTGTAGTCTTTTACATTAAACTTTATCATGTTATTTACATTAAACTTTATCGTGTTATTTACATTAAACTTTATCTTGTAGGAGGGTTTGGGTCCTATCCTTTAGATTGTAGTAGAACGCAGGCAAATTTGCCTGCGTTTTTGCACTTTTTTAGCTCTGATTTATTTTTTAAAAAAAC